CGACTTATCGGTATCGAATTGTCAGATCACGACTAGCGTTCTAAAGACGGACATCGAGAACAGAATAACCGAAAATCGATAAAGTAATAAAAGCAATTTGCAGCGTGGTGAAAGAAGGAACTATAATATATTTACAATATTCTTTATCTATTCTTTATATATATAATGTATATATATGTATTGAAAAATATATTTATTATTTTAATAATCAAAATATTTAAAATATATGAAAAGCAAATTTAGCGACAGAAAGAAAGAGATCTGATTTTTTAATCGAACAGACAAGTCGCGTTAAATTATTTTGTCGTCATGCCATATGTTCAATAAACAATACATACCATGATTAGAAATTAGTTCCAAGTAGAAGTATCAACTATATTACAAGTTTGATTTACAAGTTTTATATTTGTATCGTACGTCGATTACAAAATTAATTTTTACGTAAATATGGCACGAACGCAACCGTGAGGTAAATGAGGTTTGGAGAGAAGCAAAAATATATAGATGGAAATGTGAGGAACGAATGCACGAAATTCACACGTAAAATCAAATATTTATCGCGGGCGGAAAAGGCGCGGTGCATTTAAGCGCGGGAAATATAACGGCACGGAGGTGGTAACGTGGAAACTCAGAGACGTAGAAAGAGACATGAAAAAGGGTGAACCGAGGGTCGGACACACACCCGCCTTCCTAGAATCCTCGTTATCCGGTCGAGCGGCGGCAGTCGTAACCGGCGGTGGCCACGAAATATCCGAAGAAAAACACGTTTCCAAGTCCGAATCGATAGCAACAATGCCGTGGCGAAGAGAACGCGAGAGAGGCTTGGCTCTCTCGTGGAAGCGGGGCTTTAGGGTACAACGGAGAGTTGCTTGAGGGTGCGCAGAAGAGAGGGAGAGATAGACAGAGAAACTGAGATAGACAGAGAGAAGAAAAGGGGAACGGAGTCGGGGGAGCGAACACGTGAGGGAAGCAGAGGGTGAAAAGCAGAGAGGGAGAGCAGGAGGTGGAAACGAGGTGGAGGCGGCAGCCTTATTGGAACCGAGGGTAGGAGGTGAGTTTTCCTGAGGGCTGAGGACTGAGAGAGAAAGAGAGAGAGAAGGGGGGAGAGAGAGAGAGAGAGGAGGGG